AAGTAGAGACACTGTTTCCATGGCAACAGTTTAAGATGTGCGAAGAAGAGAATGACCACAGGAAAATCATTGACAGCAGCCCTTGTCATGTCCACTTGGGATTTTTATTATCTCATTAGCCGTTTTTTTTTTCTCTAGGAATTTTCATGCGTCTTTGATTGTTGTCTGGTCTTTTCTAAAACACTTTAGAAATACACATTTTCATCCATTTTGCAAAAAGCACCTCTCATTGGATAGGGAGAGTAAAATCATGTTATACCGAATTAGTTGAATCTACCGATGCGAATAGCGCAACACTTATGCATCAGGGTTCATCATGAGCTTGTCAAGTTTTTTTGTGTGTGTGTGTACTGTTGTTAACAATCATAACAGATTAAGGTTCCTCATCTCTGATGATGGTAATTACAATGGCTTTAGGTCCATGCGCAGAGAGAGAATAAGAAGTGTGGGAAATAGAAAGAAAGCGAGAGAGAAAGAGAGAGAGAGAGAAATAAGTAGTGCAGGTCCAAAAGGTCAAAGTTGAAACTTAAAAATGGGCGGTGAATTCTCCTTCCTGAAGCAGGAAGTCCATTGGTAGCATCTGTCAGGTGGTCAGTGCGTGATGTCATAAATCAGCCTCGCTGTCATGCGAGACATAGATTATGGATGGTGGAATAGGTCACTGTAGAACCAAACCCACCTAAAAAGATTATAGTAATTATTATTATAGCAGCTCAGTAAACAGTATATTGAACTTCAAGGATTTTTACACATTGAATTAAAATAAAGAAATAAAATGCTCAATAAATTATTAAATAAAAAATAAAAATAATTACAATGGAAAACCATACAAAGTGACACCTAGGTGCTTTGGGAGCCAGATTGTGAAGCACTATGGCCACCTAGTGTATATGAACGTAGCAATGTCAATGCTAACTTAAGAGTACAAGCCAATGAATTTCACTTGACTCTGACTGAAAAGGACAATCATGTGTATGACATCTGAAAACCTGTACCTTTTCTGAACCCATGCTGGGACATTTCCAATTGTAGAGGTAATACTGCAGGTTTCCATCTCCAATGCCAAACTTGAGCTTCTCCAAAAATGTCTTGTTCTCCATTAGGTCCAGTGCATTAAAGACATCAAATCCTTTCTGAAGGGGGAATGGCACAAGAAAAGCTTTAATAAATTTGCTGCTCATAGTTTAATGTTCCAATTCCTGCCCGTTAACCACTTCAAACTGATGTTAGTCAGGTGTTAGTCTAAATAAACGCAGGTTTGCTTCACTGCTAGAATAACATTAATTCATTTTTGAAAGGCTTTTCCAAATGAGGAAAACTGTAGTTCACTTCTAGGGATAAATTTACACCAAAACTATAGCTAAGTAAACTCATATTATGGCTAATTAATCAATTCAATTGATAATGAAAATCAACAACTTTCACTGACTGACCGCCTTGGCAAGGATAAGAGCGTCTCCCATCAGGTCCAGCAGGGTGGTGGTGGTGTGTACGTTATAGAAGGAATACGCTGCCTTCAGACTGTGATGCACAGGATGGTTCATGATAGTGGACGGCAGAGTGTAGAAACTCAGTAAGTCAGTCAGCTTCCCATCTGAATTCTACAGTGATATAAAGGAAAGGCAATTCACATCAAATATATTACAGAAATAACCCCATTGTCTATTCTTATTTTCAAAAACTTTCATGTTTGATATCACTAGGATGATATATGCCATGTATTCTTAGGGTTCAGTGAGTGTAATACCTCCACTACATAGGTGTCAATGATGTTCTCCTGAGGAAGCAGCCAGTGTTGGACCTCCTCAGGGCTCATGACGGGAACCAGGTTAAACAGACTCAGGTATTCCTTCAGCAGGCGGTGAACTGCTGGCACATCCTTTACAGTCATCGGCCTTAGACCTGAAGTCTTAGGAGCCTACCGGAGAGAAACATGCCATAAGAAAACAAGGAAAAGAGGAAACTTCCCAGATGTTACCCAGAGAAGCAGGCTGGCACACACCTCTGGCAGTCGGTAGAGCTTCATGGTGCGTTGCATAGTCATGTTTCGACTCAGGTGAGAGAACTTCACCTCAATCAGCTTTCGTGGGTTCAAGGACCGGTGCCAGTATCTACCATACAAATAAGCAAGGCAAATAGTGTGAAACAGGGATTTCCAAAAAAAAAAAAAAGTTAAAAACAATGTTAGGCATAACAATTTGTTATGTCTAACACTCAACTCTGTATTATTTAGCCCTATATTAAGGTAACAGAGTAGCAGAGTCATGTGGCAATTGTTACTTCACGACACATCAGACTGCATTAATAAGAGTCATTAGTTATTACAAAATAAAACACTAACATTTTATTTTAATTGTTATGGGAAATTCAGCATATATGCTTCCTTTCAAAAGTTTGGGGTTGGTACAATTTTTGTATGTTTTTGAAAGAATGCTCACCAAGACTACATTTATTTGATCAAAAACAGTTAAAATAGCAATATTGTGAAATATTATTACAATCTAAAATAACTGTTTTCTATCTGAATATATTTTAATTTATTCCTGATGGTGCAGCTGAATTTTCAGCAGTCATTACTCTAGTGTCGCATGATCCGTCAGAAATAATCAATAAACAAAGTTCAAAAGAACAGCATTTATTTGAAATAGAAATCTTTTGTAACATCATAAATGTCTTTACTGTCACGTTTAAATCTATTTAAAACATCCTTGCTGAATAAAAGGATTACTTCACTTCAAATTTACTAAAATCTAAAATGAATTGGTATATTAATATTACATCAGTTAATGAAATACGGTTTTTAAATGTAAATTTAAATTAAATCATAAATCCAAAAATGTTTCTATTTTTTACGGTAAAATTGTGGCAACCACAGGTGCTGTTTTTTTTTTTTAATTGTAAATTTTACGGATTTTTACTTTTTTTTACAGTGTGGCCAAACCTCTCCAGTGACAAGAAAAAAAAAACATTATGAGATTTGTATGTGGCATAATAAGGCATCTTTAAGCACCAATGCACCCCCTGGAGGAAGGTCATTTTGTGTCAGAGGGAGGAGTTTGAGGCTTAGCAACATCTGCCACCCAATAGCCCATCTAATGCTACCTTTCACTCTACACAAAGGCACCTGTACATATTAAAAGAGGGCAGATGTGTGTCTTACCTGCAGGTGCCCACTGGTTTGGGTAGCACCACACCTGCGGTGTACACAGCCTGAAAGATGCCCTCCAGGTTGACCCGTCTCGTGATCTCCCTGATGAGTACCGGAGCCACTCGTTTCGAGCGAAGTTTCTTATGCACACACAGGAAGTTAATCTCCACCATCATCTTCTCTCTGGGAAGATTGAAGAGCAGATATGGGTCAACAAGGGAACTGAGTGCTCAACCTAAGTACTCTCAGTCTGCACAATGTGAGAAAAATGTGCCTAGATTTAGTCATTCTAAATGACACAAGAATAATTTAAATGCCTCAGTTTCACCATTACATTTATGGTCAAACATGTCTCTGATTGGTTACAATCTTTTAAGAGTCTTTCTTTAAAATGGTCAGTTATATATAGGGAAAAAAAGAAGATAAACCTAACATAAAACACTAATGTCTCTCCATCCTAGCATGCAATTCAACTCATGATTAAACTACACAGACACAAGAGCCGAGCCCCACACCAGTGGTCAAGCTGGAACGGGACGACTTACAGAGATGCACAGCTAATCCTATTAATGCTCACGAAGGGAGAGAGGTGACAGAGCTGAGCTACATTTGTTAATGGGAGACAGATGGTCTATCACGTCATGACCTGCAGAAAAAGCATGCTTTGTGTGTGTGAGGGGAGGTGGGCTATATGACAAAGACTGACGGATAAACAAGCACCCCTGTGACTATTGCTTTGACAGCCATCTATCCCTAAAAAAGAGGGGCTTCTCTTCTTTTACTCTATACTGCTTCAATAAATATAAGCTGCAATGGAGGATGTCCTCTTAAAGGGGTGGCTGTTCAGCTTTTTTCGAAGGCTTCATTGTGTTTATGGGGTGCAGTGTAACATGTGTTCATGCTTCGTTATATAACGTGTTATTTTCACATATTTTACCTTTATTCTACAACGCTATTTCCGTTCTTGTCAAAAAAGGTCTGTTAAGTTCCTGGTTCTATGAAGCCCCTCACTAAAACTACGCAATGGGCTCAGAGCTCATTGTAGCCCCTACCAACCTTTTTTTTTTGCAGTCCTTGAACAGCGATTTCTTTAAAAGAAAATATCTCCGTTTGCATTGAACTTTGAGTGTCGTAACATTGCTGACGGTGTTTATGCTCTAACAGCAACATTACACACTAACTAAAGTTAAAAAAGTGAAATCATAACCAACCACCACTTTAACCTAATGGACAATAGTATAGTAGATTTAAATGATGTATGTCTAATTTGATTGAAACTGTCCTAGTCTGGTCGGGGTAGTCTTTTGGCTGGTTTTGGAAGTCTCTTCTGGAAAGATGGTTAGGTTGAGAGATCCAATTATGACCAGATGAAAAACAGGAAAACGCATTAGGCAAAGATAACATGTAATTTTTATATAATTTTAATGCAGGGAGGAACAATAAAAAATTGCTGAAATTTGGATTTAATTGAAATTAACAGGGGATTTTGGACATCTCTTTTTATCACTTCATAAATCAGAAAATATTGTTAACACCCCCCCCAACCATATTTCTATAAATATAATGTTAAATAAATCAGGTGCTATATGTGCTATAAATCCGCTGTGTAAAAAGCTTTATAATATAGATAGAAATAAAAATGGAAAGTTTACTGAAAATGGTAACTGAAATGGAGATTTCTGGCTCAATGCATAAAACTCATTTTGAAAAAACGGCTGATTACATGTATTGCAATTGAAATCAACAGATGCAAAAAGATAAAGTGTAATAAAATAAACATTTTAATTTGTACTCTAAAAGATGATTAAAATTTTTTTTTTCAATTGACTAGTGCATGAAATGAATGGTTTTGCTTGTAAAGTTTTGAGATAAATGAGGGACCCTTAATTGTATATGAGCCACCACATAATGTGTCTTATGAGGCAAATATTGTATATTCATGTTACGTGATCTACGGCATACTGCCATTACATCATTATAATAATAAAACGTAGTAGTTCACTCTCTGTTCCCTAATTTATTCAAGCCGGTGCGTGTAATGACCTTGAGGGACATGTAGCTGTACAAGAAGCTGGTTAATGAGTCTCTTTCAGTAAACCAGAGGCAGCAGAAGGAATTTGGTGAATCCAAGGAGCTCTTTGGTACTGAAAGTGAAACTCAGGCAGCATCGGTGAAGACAAGACACCTGAGAGCGAGGGCGAACCGAGAGCAGGGTGATAAAAACGTTTAAGGATGCCCCATTTGCTACTAGCAGCAGTCGAGCTAACTAGATCACGTCAAGCCATCAGTTAGCGACAGCAAATCCAGATTACTAACAACCTAGTGCTCATAAAGGCCTGCATACCGGGTTTGAAAGCGATTTTGCGGGTTATTTATTAATATCGGTCAGTTTATTGTTGTTACAGGACATGGAATAGCGACTTTAAACGTAATAGCTTATTTGTTTTCTACCAAACCAAGAATTGTAGTGAGGCTTTTAAACCTCACACAAATGCCAATGATCGTATAGAACTGGCCATTTGGAACAGTCCTTTTGTTTGATTGACGGCGTCTGAGCCAATCGTTTTCGAGATCCGTCCGTCAATAAAGGCAGTGACCCAATAGCGTAGGACCAGGGGGCGGGCTGATACGCTGTTAGCGTGCCACAGCCTAGTTGAACAAGGGCCCCGTCTTTTCGGGCGTTGTGGAAGAGTATTTTATATTTACGAGCTAACAGTAAAATGCATGCACGCTCACCCGTCATCAGAGTGATGCTCTTCATTTTCACAGTTGCTGCAGTGTCCATGATCCACTTCTACCTCAGTTTCTTTCTCCAGCTGCGGTGCTGTCTCATTCTCATCCGCCATCTTTAACCAGGAAGTGAGGATCTCGCCCTGCGCCCTCACAACCCGCAAAACTATTGGTGGACTGCCGCAAAGCCCGATGGTTTCTGTAGTTCTGGCTGATATCAAGGGAAATGCTAATTCTCAAAAAAAAAAAAAAAACCCTTCTACCTATATTTTAATATATAAATTTGTTATTTTCAAAAAATTAATGAGAGCTTTATAACCTTTATGAGAACTGTTTAACACATTCTGTATTTTGCTGCTTCTTGTCATGACACAACAACAGTAATCTGCCATCTCTCACCCTCTTTGCACTATCAATCTTGCCAACCGCTTCTTTCAGAGCTTTAGTTATTTTAATTGGGTTCAACACATTAGCCGATTCCGCAAGAAATTTAAGCATTACCTTGTACTCCTCTTTCGGTCTACTAACCTGTTTCCTTTCTCTTTCACTATCTGATCCAGATGTTTGATCCCTCATTTTTTTCCTTTTACGATTTTCCACTAAAGTCCAATTACTATTTTCAGTACTTTCTAATTCCCCGCCATCCATTCCATCCGTCTCCGGATCGCTTCCTGAATCTACGCAACTTCCTTCCATCACCACCTCAGTCACACCCCAGTGTTGCCACCGCCACTCCCCCGACCATATCGCTACATTCCGTAGTTCTGTTCTATGCAGGACAGTCTATTTCATCCCATGTTGTGAAATTTATTTAATTATTTGGGACAGTGCACATTAATAAACATTACTGTAAATGCACCAGAGGTAATAGCTAAAGGGCATTTTTTTATCTGTAGTCCAAAAAAACAAACAAAATTGAAATGGGAAAAATGGATAAAATTGTTGCCTACGATAAAGAACGCACACATGCACATACAGGCATTCAGAAGTCATTAAACCACACAATAATTAGGTACAGTTCGATTTTTAAATTTATAAAATGTAGGCATGCTTTCAAAGACACTACATCTTTCCAAATATCAATAAAAACAATTAATGAGCATAACTGCACAATGGAGATTGATTCACATATTTTCATGGATTCAAAAATAGGCTACACAAGCAAAAAATTAATCTGAACCTAATTAGTATCGGTGCTTAAATAAGTGAAGATTTGCAACTGATGTCTGCTGTTGATAATGTAAAAATAAATACTAGTTAATATTAATTAAATTAATTAATTACTGATTTTCTATTTCAATACAACTTAAAAAAAAATAATGTATTCTTGCTCAAATTTAAGCATGTATACACAAACTTACACATACAGTACTGTATAAACAAGTAAGACATTAAAATCTGTTTTCTGCTGTGAAACAGAAAATCTAACACATCTTTACAGAAGCAGCTCACATTACTATATAATATTATGCTAAATAGCCTAGTACAAAACACAGACATTTATGAGTTATTAATAAATAATGTTTTCATGATTCAACAAACTTGAAAAAGCATCTAGTGGCAAGTGATATAGGTGGCTACATCTTCAACTAGGAAGCACTGGTCAAGTCGTGTAATTTGATCATATTTGACCATATTTTGACCATAATTTTGACCATCTTATGACACTGAATGTTTTCAGTGCTTGCTTTTGGCTTTAATGATAAAATCTTATGTCTCACATTGATTGACATTGTTAAACACAGTATTCATCATTAGTGGTAGCTGTTTAAAAATATTGAATATTTATTATATTTATTACATTATATTAATATATATTATTATTTTTCAGAAGTATCCTATTACTCGGATTGCTTAACTACTGATAATTACTGATTTCTTATTACTTATATACTGCTAAAACGCTGTTGGTGTTTGAATCAATTAAAAAATACTGCAAAAAAATAGTCATGACTCTTGCTATGCTTTAAGTATTCCTTCAAAATTATTTTTCTACACTTTCTTTACCTTGCTATCAGTGTTCAGCATATCACAACCACCAACAAAACGACAAGATTCAAACTATAAAAAAATTAAAGACAGTTCATTTCTATCTACATGTACATATAATTCTTGTCCAGCATGTAAAGACTAGCTTAAGTTCAATTAAAATATAACATTTTCATAAAATGTGTTACATTTTCTGATTTCAATGCTCACAGAGACTCAATAGAAATCGGTCTCAATGGAAACGGACTCTATAAACAACACTGACTTGTACCTTCTAACAATACTGACTTCATAACATCTTAAGCTTCAACCATAACACGGCTATAACACGTTAAGACGTTCTGCTCTACACCACAAAAGAACAATAAAAAAGCAAAATGCACTTTGAATCACAAACTGACAAACTACACTGACTTTCTGCAGATTGTTGTGCACAGTGTTTGTGCTTGTATGTCCAATGCTTTTATAGGTGGTCTCATTCTGAAGAGTCCCAGCACCTCAAGAGCCCGGCTCAGGGGCTTTTCCTTCAGTAAGGTACTTCCACAAATAAACATTTCCAGGAATCATGACAGAAGCCTCAGGCCTTGCCTATCCGCTCAGAAACGGTTTTAATAGGAACTCCTCGCCGTACCACCTTGACATGGATGAAGAGGGTGGCAGGAGACAGACTAGAGCCGTCAGCTTTTAGCAGGTGAACATGACGATAACCTGGAGGACAACACAAACACTTGAATAAATATATGTGAAAAATCTAGTTAAAACAAGTGTTCAACGTAATAGGTACCACATACGCCACCGATTATTATTATTCTTTTAAAGATGTCAGAACAATTACAATTTTGTTTATATTTAGTTTTTCTTTGTCTCAGTGTTTTTCCATAAAACTTAAAGTCAAAGTTTTATGAAAATCAGGATTAATTCAAATGCGATTCATGTCCTTCTTGAACTTCAGATCTAGGCATTTTTTAACCATTACGTGCTCTAGGCCCCTGACTGAGAAGCAGATTTCCATCTCATTGATCTCTCAGTGAACTGGAAAATATTCTTATTCAGGAATGGTGCAAAATCCCTCTCCACACAGTTGGGTACTTGGATAACAACATTCCAAAAACTACTGAAGCTGTTTTGAAGGCAAAGGTTGATCTGACTCTTCAGTATGTCCTTTTTATGTCCTTGATAAATAATTCTTTGTTACAGTAGATATTTCAAGCATTGTGTTCTGACAACTTTATGTAATAGTTTATTTAAAAACATGAATTTATATTATTTACACTACCATTGAAAAGCTTGGGCTTGGTAAATTTTGTTATGTTTTTGAAAGAAGTCTCGTATTCTCATCAAGGTTGCAATTATTTGAGTAATATTGTGAATATTATTACAATTTAAAATAATTGTTTTCTGCTTTAATATATTTTAAAATGTACTTTATTCCTATGATGCAAAGCTGAATTTTCAGCATCATTACTCCAGTCTTCAGTGTCACATGATCCTTCAGAAATCATTCTGATATGCTGAATTGCTGCTCAAGTAACATTTCTTATTATTATCAATGTTGAAAACACTGTGACACAGTTTTTCATGATTATTTAATGAATAAAAAGAAAAAAAAACAGCATTATTTGAAATAGAAATCTTTTGTAACATTATAAATGTATTTACAGTCATTGATTTTGATAAATTTAATGCATCCTAATTTCTTTACATAAAAATCTTACTGACCCCAAACTTTCTAACGGCAGTTAGTGTTGTCAAATTTAAAATACAAACAGTACTTCCACCACAAATCATGTTTATGTTTAAATATAGTATATGTTTTATAAAAACATCATACGGTGTGAACTGAACACACACACATGTTGATACTGGTGGTTTACGGGGACTCTCCATAGGCGCAATTTTTTTGATACTGTACAAACTGTATTTTCTGTCACCCTACCCCAACCCTATAGCTAAACCTATCCCTCACACAAATCTTTGTGCATTTTTAGAAACCATTTAGTATGCTTTTTAAACCTTTTGGATTACGGGGACACAGGCAGTGTCCTCATAAACCATCTTCACATTATAATACCTATGTTATACCAATGTCATTATACACATTTGTGTCCTCATAAACCACCAAAACCAGTGCACACACACACACACACACACACACACTTCAATTCAATTCAATTCAATTCAAGTTTATTTGTATAGCGCTTTTCACGATACAAATCGTTGCAAAGCAACTTTACAGAAAATTAAGTTTCTACAATATTTAGTAGTACACACAGAAAAAAAGGGGTTTAAAATGGTACCTTTTGGGGCAAAACAACCCATCCCCGGAGCAGCACCCCCAAAAGGACACACTTGCACCCCCTCCATCCCCAATAGGTACACATCAGTACCCCAGAGTAGTAATACGTACCCTTAAGGTACTAATATGTACCTACTAGGGGCAAAAAAGGCACAAACATGTCACTCCAAGGGACACAGACACACACGCGCACACACACACACACACACACACACACACAAGACAATTTTTAATATAACTCCGACTGGATTCATCTGAAAGAAGAAAGTCATATACGCCTAGGATGCCTCGGGGGTGAGTAAAACAACGGTGATATTGTGAAATAATGTAACAATTTAAAATAATTGTTTTCTGCTCTAATATATTTTAAAATGTGATGTATTCCTGTGAATCTGAATGTTCAACATCATTACTCCAGTCTTCAGTGTCACATGATCCTTCAGAAATTCTGATATGCGGCTCAAGAAACATTTCTTACTATTATAAATGCTGAAAAAACTGTGATACAATTTTAATGATTATTTAATGAATAGAAAGAGCAGCATTTATTTGAAATAGCAATCTTTTTAACATTATAAATGTATTCACTGTCACTGATCTATTCAACAAGGATGCATCAAATCGATCAAAAAGTATTCATTTCTTTACATAAAAATCGTACTGACCCCAAACTTTTTAACAAAATTTAAAATTCATACAGTACTTCCACCACAAATCATGTTTAATATAGTATATGTTTTATAAAAACATCATACTGTGTGATCTGAACACACACACACCTGTTCGAAGGCTGGTGAAAGGGAGGGTGAACTGGCCAATGAAATCATTTTT